AAGCAGGCTCCCAGCTGGGCAGGGAGCCCCATTCAGGGCCCCATCCCAGGACCCTGGGATCATGACCTGAGCTGAACGAAGGCAGAACTCTTAACTAACTGAGCCACCCAGGTACCCCATTTACTCTTCTTTTTTAAGATTGTTTTTGCTTCGGGGCGCCTGGGTGGCTCAGTGGGTTAAGCTGCTGCCTTCGGCTTAGGTCATGATCTCAGGGTCCTGGGATCGAGCCCCACATCGGGCTCTCTGCTTGGCGGGGAGCCTGCTTCCTCCTCTCTCTCTGCCTGCCTCTCTGCCTGCTTGTGATCTCTCCCTGTCAAATAAATAAATAAAATCTTTTAAAAAAAAAAGGATTGTTTTTGCTTTTGTGGGTACCTTAAATTTCTGTATAAATTTTAGAATCAGTTTTTTAATTTCTGGAAAAAGGACAGTTAGGATTTGTTTGTTTTTAAAGATTTTATTTATTTGACAGAGATAACAGGTAGGCAGAGAGGCAGGCAGAGAGAGAAGGTGGAGAGCAGGCTCCCTGCTCCTTGCTGAGCAGAGAGACTGACTCGGGGCTTGATCCCAGGACCCTGAGATGATGACCTGAGCTGAAGGCATAGACTTAACCCACTAAGCCACCTAGTTGCCCCTGGAAGCTAGGATTTTGATGAAGATTTCATTTAATCTGTAGATCAAATTGGGGATATTTTTCTGTTTACTTTAGGTCTTTCATTTTTTGAGCTGTGTTTTAATAGTTCTCTGTGTACAGATCTTTCACCTCCTTGGTTAGATTTATTCCTCAGTATTTTATCCTCTTAGATGCCATTGTAAATGGAATTGTTTTCGCAATAATCCTTTTTATGTTACCCTGTTTAGGTTATTGCTGGTATAGAGAAGTAAATCTGGTTTTTGAGTTTTGATCTTATATCTTACAACTTCGCTGAATTTATTAGCTTTAGTAGCCATCATATAAGTTCTTTGAAATTTTGTCATTTTTTTGGAAATAATTCTATTTCTTCCTTTCCAGTTTGTGTGCCTTTTATTGCTTTTTTCTTGTTTAGTGCTCTGGCTGGAACTTTCAGGGCAGTGTTAAATAGCAGTGGTAAAAATGATTATCCTTGTCCTGTTCTTGATCTTAGGAGGAAAGATTTCACCATTTAGTGTAATGCTAGCTGTGAGGGTTTTTTTTGTTTTGTTTTAAGATTTTTATTTATTTATTTGACAGACAGAGATCACAAGTAGGCAGAGAAGCAGGCCGAGAGGGAGGAGGAAGCAGGGCTCCCTGCTAAGCAGAGAGCCCGATGCGGGGCTTGATCCCAGGACCCTGGGATCATGACCTGAGCCCAAGGCAGAGGCTTTAACCCACTGAGCCACCCAGGCCCCCCTGAGTTTTTTTTTTTAAATTCCATTACAATGTTGAGATACTTTCCTTCTATATATAATTTTTTTAGTGTTTTTATCGTGAAAAAGTGTTGCATTTTGTCAAATGCTTTGCATCAATTGAGATGCCCATCTTTTAGTAAGTTGTTTCTGAGTACAAATCTACGTATGTCATTCCACAGCTCAGAAATTTTTACGTGTATAGGTATAAACTCAGAACAAAGTAACATATTTTTCTGGTCTAATTTTTATATATAATCTATTTTTCATTACAGGTGGTTTCTTTACCATTGTGGTAGGTAGAATAATGGTCCTTCAGAAGAGTCCACATCCCAATCCCTGGAACCTGTGTTATGTTAGCTTATATGTTAAAGAAAAATTAAAGTTGCTAATCATTAGCTGACCTTAAAATAAAGAGATTATTCTGGATTACCCAGGTGGGCCCACTGTAACTTTCAAGTGGAAGAGGTAGACAGGAAATGAGAGTGAGAGATGTGATTATGGGAGAAAGGCCCAGAGAAATGCAACATTGCTTGCTTTGAAGATTAGAGGAAGGAAGACCAAGAGCAAAGGCGTGTGCGTGGCCTTTAGAAGCTTAGAAAGGACAAGGAAAGAGATTTTTTTCTTAGAGACTTCAGAAAGGAGGAGTACACTGCTGCTGACACATTGAATTAGCCTTGTGAGAATAGTGTCAGATTTTGACCTACAAAAGTGTAAAACAATAAATTGCTGTTTTAACTACTAAGTGTTGTGGTGATTTGTTACAGTAGCAGTGCAAAACAAATAGAACTACCCTAGCATATTCTGTTTATGATGTTCGTTTTTTTTTTTTTTTTAAGATTTTATTTATTTATTTGAGAAATCACAGTAGGCAGAGAGGCAGGCAGAGAGAGGGGGGGAAGCAGGCTTCCCGCTGAGCAGAGAGCCGATGTGGGGCTCGATCCCAGGACCCTGAGATCATGACCCAAGCCGAAGGCAGAGGCTTAACCCACTGAGCCACCCAGGCGCCCCTATAATGTTGGTTTTTTCTCTGGGCTAACTCATGTCTAAATTTCCTTTTTAGGTTGTTAAAATTATAGTTATTATTCAAGACCCATCTCAAAGCTTTCTCAAACATTAAGCCTTTAGTTTGTCTTTCACACCATGTGCCAGGTGTCCTCTATCCAAATATACCCTAAATTTCTCCTTGTTTCTCTTGTGCTTTTTTTTTTTTTAACCTTCCTCATAGCATCTAACAAGTTTTAGAATTTAGTATTTGGTATTTTATTAAAAATTTTATTCTCCTTTTAAAAATGTTCTGTTATCTTGATATGGTTGTGTATTTTGTGTGTATTTCTAAATTTTGGTTGTGTATATGTAAGATTTTTATATTTTAGTTCTATCTCTAATTATTTAGAATTTTGAATCTTTCATTTTAGGCTAAGATTGGTGAATATGTCTTAGTCTTTTTTCTATTGAATAACAATCTGTGATGCATATGGTAAGCAACCCATATGTATTTGACTTAAACTAAATGTACATGTGGATTAGGTCCTATAATTTAAATATATGAACCAAAGGGTGAATGGGTGGCTAGGTCAGTTAAGCATCTGCTTTCAGCTCAGGTCATGATCCCAGGGTCCTGGGATCAAGCCCCGTGTCAGGCTCCCTGCTTCAGCAGGGTATCTGCTTTTCCCTCTCCTCCAGCTCCTTTCCCTGCTCATGCTCATTTGCGTGCTCTCTCTCTCAAATAAATAAATAAAATCTTACCCAAAAAAGTAGTGAGTTTTATACATATCCTGGGGGAATTAAAATTAAGTTATTGGGAGGCATATTTTCAGTTTATATAAACCATACTTATTGAAACCATGGATGTTAAAGGTGGTTTATAGCATCTCTCTAGACAGATTTTTTTTTTTAAGATTTTATTTATTTATTTGACAGACAGAGATCACAAGCAGGCAGAGAGAGAGGAGGAAGCAGGCTCCCCACTGAGCAGAGAGCCCGATGCGGGGCTCGATCCCAGAACCCTGAGATCATGACCTGAGCTGAAGGCAGCGGCTTAACCCACTGAGCCACCCAGGCGCCCCTCTCTAGACAGATTTTAAGCGAGGTCAAATTTTGGGAGGGGTTGTTTCTTTTTATGTACTTTAGATTCAGGTGTGTCTGAAAATAAAGATATTTGGTTGTTCCTGAAGACTCTTGAATCTCAGTTATTATATAGGTCTATTTTTTTAATAGATATATTTATTTTATTTTATTTTATTTTTTTTATTTTTTTTTTTTTAAAGATTTTTTATTTATTTATTTGTCAGAGAGAGAGAGGGAGAGAGAGCGAGCACAGGCAGACAGAATGGCAGGCAGAGGGAGAAGCAGGCTCCCTGACGAGCAAGGAGCCCGATGTGGGACTCGATCCCAGGACGCTGGGATCATGACCTGAGCCGAAGGCAGCTGCTTAACCAACTGAGCCACCCAGGCGTCCCTAGATATATTTATTTTAGAGAGAGAGCACAAGCACGTGAAAATGAGCAGTCAGGCATGGGGGATGAAGGTCAAAGGGAGAGGGAGAGAAGCAGACTCCCCGCAGAACGCAGAGCCCAATGTGAGGTTTGATTCCACAACCCCAAGATTATGACCTGAGCCAAAATCAAGAGTCAGACACTCCACCGACTGAGCCACCCATGCACCCCTCTCAATTTTAAATGAGTTTTTCTTAGAAGGATGGTGCTATAAACATACTGCTTCTTTTTTAAAAAATACATCTTACAGATTGGTCAGAACTAATATTTATAATACAAAAGAGTTTTTTCAAAAAGATTTTTTAAAAGATTTTATTTATTTGACAGAGACAAAGTTAGAGAGAGAACACAGCGTGGGTGGGGGGGAGAAGCAGGCTTCCCACTGAGCAGGGAGCCCGATGCGGGGCTCCATCCCAGGATCCCGGGATCATGACCTGAGCTTGAAGGCAGCCACTTAAGGACTGAGCCACCCAGACACCCCCATAGTATTAAAAATGTTTAATAATTCTTCAGCATTGGGGTGCCTGTGTGGCTCAGTTGATTGAGCGATTGACTCTTCTTGGTTTTGGTTCAGGACATAATCTCATGGTCATGGGATTGAGCTCCTCATTGGGCTCTTGGATGGGGCAGAGTCTGCTTCGGATTCTCTCTCTCTCCCCTTTTCCCTCTAGCGCATGCTCGCGCGCTCTCTCTCTCTCTCTCTCTCTCTCTCTCACACACACACACACACACAAATAAATATATTAAATCTTTTTTTTTTTTTTTTTAAGATTTTTATTTATTTGACAGACAGATCACAAGTAGGCAGAGAGGCAGGCAGAGAGAGAGAGAGGAGGAGGAGGCAGGCTCCCTGCTGAGCAGAGAGCCCGATGTGAGGCTTGATCCCAGGACCCTGGGATCATGACCTGAGCCGAAGGCAGAGGCTTTAACCACTGAGCCACCCAGGCGCCCAAATATATTAAATCTTTAAAAAAGATTCTTCAGCGTTGATTGCAAACATGAAGAAAAAGCAGAATTGTTTTCTCCCCTAATGATGAGAAAGCAGATTTTCTAGGAATGAAAGAAACTTCAGCAGAACTGATGTCCCTTTTTACATCATATTTTTGAGTATTTACTAAATCTAATGTTTGTGTCTCATAGAATGGAGATGTATGCATTTCAATTCTTCATCCGCCTGTAGATGACCCACAGAGTGGAGAACTGCCCTCTGAAAGGTGGAATCCTACTCAGAATGTCAGGTAAGGGGTTACATAAGGAATAATCTGGTTTTTCAGTGGTTCTTAAGATTGGATATTATCTTTATAACACATACGTGTTACTTAAAGCTCTAGCAGAAGACAAAACAACCATGTACAAAAAGACTCCTTAAAAATGCATCATTTTTAAGAGTCATACTTACAGAGCAGTAATTGCATTTATTACTCATTTGTTTGTGTGCATCTTAGTCTGAATTCTTCCTGTTACATTATCTTAAGTTCCATCCTGCATCTTTGGATCTCATGATGTCCATGTTTGAATTGGTTGTTTTCTTAATCCAGGATTCTTAATACATTTTGCAGAAAAATCTAAGTCTTTACAAACTCAATTGACTTTATATACTCACTGTGTTTAAAAGAGCTTCCATTTTCTGTTGTTACCTTGTTTTATATGTGTATGAATGTTTCTTAATGATTTTAAGGGCTTATGTATTTCTTTTGATTCCCTTTCATTATCCATCTTTTTTTTTTCAAATTTGTATTTAAATTCTTAATTAGTTAACATACAGTGCAATATTAAGATTGTTCATCTGTTAATTGATCTGTTGAACTATCTGTATAAATGGATGGTTATTTAACCATTTGTGTAGAGTAGTGGTCTATATGTTTAAGAGTGGGTTACCTAACTCTTAAAAATTTTTTGAAAAACTACACTGGCATGTTTTTGTAGCTTTTTTTTTTTTTTTAATTTTATTTTGAGTAATCTCTACACCTAACATGGGGCTTGAATTTACAGCTCCAAGATAAAGAATTGCATGCTTGCACTCTGAGAAACAAACTGAGCTTTTTGGGAGGGGAGGCTGGTGGGAGGTTGGGTGAGCCTTGTGGTAGGTATTATGAATGGCACGTGTTTCATGGAGCACTGGGTGTGGTGCATAAACAATGAATTCTGGAACACTGAAAAGAAAAAAAAAAAAAAAAAGTTGCATGCTCTACTGACCAAGCCAGCCAGGTGCTCCCACTGTTGCATGTTTTTAGGTGCAGATTTTGGTGTTCTGTTTTTTAGGTATAGTTTTTTAAAACATCTCAAATATAAGTGGTTTAAAAATACCTTTTTTCTGCTTGCATTTGAATTTACTGAGTTTTATCTTAATACTTGAAATTTTTATGTTTGATAGCCTTATATATTTTATTTATCCTATAGTATTTTTCTGAAAGAAAAATCTGTACTTTAATTGCTGTGATAAGACAAAACTGATTACTCTGTTGAATTAGTTTATTATATAGTTGATTAAAAACAGTACATCAATTATGCTTTCAATATTCTTTTACTTTTTACATTATTATTAATAATTATTAGAAGTACATTTTAAATCTGGTAGATAGACATTTGTTTTCAGTTAGATCATGTAGCCATGAATAATTACTACTGTGTTAGATTGAGTCAGAAATATAGCTGCAATTTCATGTGTATACATAATGTATGAATGTACATTATATATACTAATATACATACCCGAGAATATGTGCATCTATATACATATGTATATATGTATACATATATGTGAGGACTAACATATATAACATAAATATACATATTAGATGCAATGATTAAGAGACCATATTTACATATGATAATGGATTAACATTTTATATGGCAGTGAAACTAAATCCTCTTAATTCCTTCTGAATTATTTGCAAAAATCATAGCGATCTATTCTTTTTTAAACGTTTTATTGTGATATAATTCCCATACCCAACAGTCTCCCATTATGTGTACAATTCACTGTTCTTTAAGTAGAAAGCTGTACAAGTATCCCCACAATCAATTTTAGATCTTTTTAAAAAAAATTTTTTTTAAAGTAGGCTCTGTGCCCAGTGTGGAGCCCAATGCAGGGCTTGAACTCACGACCCTAGGATCAAAACCTGAGCTGAGATCAAGAGTCAGACACCAAGCTGACTCAGCCACTGAGGTGCCCCATGAACATTTTTATCACCTCTAAAGAAACTCATACCTCTTAGCATTTATACTCCCATTATCCCTCAACCTCCACCTCCACCCTTCTACCTGCAACCCTAGGAAAACACCAGTCTACTTTTTGTCTCTAGAATTTTACCTGTTTGGATATTTTGTAGGAGTAGAGTCATTCCAGATGTAGTATTTTGTGATTGGCTTCTTTAACTTAGAATTTTTTCAAGGTTCATCTTTGTTATAGCATTAATCAGTACTTCATACCTTTTTTTTTGGCTGAATAATAATTCCATTGAATGCTTATACCACCCTTGGTTTATCCATTCTTCATTCAGTGGACGTTTGGGTTGTTTCCATTTTTTGGCTATTATGAATCATGCTGCTATAAACATTATGTACAAGTTTTTGCATATATACGTTTTTTTATTCCCTTGGATATATACCTAGGAATAGAATTGCTGGTTCATATGATAACTCACTGTTTAACTTTTTGAGGAATTGCCAAACCGTTTTCCAACATGGCTGCACTAAATAGTACATGCCTACCAACAGTGTTTGAGAATTTGTTTCTGCATATCTTCGTTAACAATTGTTACTATCTGTGTTGTTATAACCATCCTAGTGGGGGGACATGGTATCTCATTATGGTTTTGTTATTGATGTTTTCTCTTTAAATGACTTCTAAATTTTAGAACCATTTTAGATTTTTTATTTTTTAAAATTTTATTTATTTATTTGATAGAGACAGAGATCACAAGTAGGCAGAGAGGCAGGCAGAGAGAGGAGGAAGCAGGCTCCCTGCTGAGCCGAGAGCCCGTTTCGGGGCTCGATCCCAGGACCCTGGGATCATGACCTGAGCCCAAGACAGACACTTAACCAACTGAGTCACCCAGGCATCCCGGGAGAGAGAGAATCTTAAGCAGTTCCCATGCCCAGTGTGGGGCCCAAAGCAGGGCTGGATCTCACAACCCTGAGATCATGACCTGAACTGAAACTAAGAATCAGATACTCAACTGACTGACCCACCCAGGTGCCCCTTTGTTAGTCATTTTTAATGATCTGAAAAGGTAGTAACTCAGAAACTCTACTTTTTTTTTTTTTTTTTTTCAAAATTACAAAGTGGGCAGGGAGGGAGGCAAAGAGAGAGGGAGGGAAGCAGGCTCCCTGCTGAGCAGAGAGCCCAATGCGGGGCTCAGTCCCAGGACCCTGGGATCATGACCTGAGCTGAAGGCAGAGGCTTTAACCCACTGAGCCACCCAGGTGCCCCAGGAACTCTACTTTTGTTAAAAATGAAAAGTTGGAAGCTTCTTGACTTACACAAGGATTTCTTTTCTTTCCTTTTTTTTTTTTTAAGATTTTATTTATATATTTGACAGATCACAAGTAGGCAGAGAGAGAGAGGCGGTGGGGTGGGGGTGGGGGTGGGAAGCAGGCTCCCTGCTGCGCAGAGAGCCCGATTGGGGGCTCATTCCCAGGACCCTGAGATCATGACCTGAGCCGAAGGCAGAGGCTTTAACCCACTGAGCCACCCAGGCTCCCCTACACAAGGAATTCTTACCAGTTTTTACCAAGTTCGTTTCTTCTCACTTTCTGGGAAGTGTATACCAAAGAATCTGCTCAAGCATATCAAATTACTGTTGATTATGTGTTGATGATGCTGATTACTCATTCCTTTAGGTATCTTGTTCAATACAGTATACTTAGAAAGAATTGAGAAAATAGATATATTTTGGATTTCAACACATCTAGTTCATATATTTTTTAAATCAGAAAAAAAGTGTCTCCCTTTTTAAATTCAAATAATGTGTTGATACACCTCATCTTGGCAATCATCTTGCTTTTGAATTCTAATTCTCAGATAGATTAGGCATAGAACTTTGCTATAAGTGTATTAATGTCTATGAAATACGGAATTACCGCATATTCCCTGTACTTTATGCTTTACTTTAATGGGATTCTCCTTCAGGGATAATGGATTTCTTAATAATAATCAGAGATGGAATTAGTAAGTTCCTTTTAATGAAAATGTAATTCCAGCAGCCCCAATCTATACGTATCTGAATTTGTTGTACTCCATCACATACTAAAATACTTTCTTTAAACATCATTTTACACTTTTTTTTTTAAGACTTTATTCATTTATTTGACAGAAATACAGTGAGACAGGGAACACAAGCAGGGGGAGTGGGAGAGAGAAAAACATGCCCCCCACCAAGCAGAGAGAGCCCAATGCAGGGCCGGATCCCAAGACCCCAGGATCATGATCTAAGCTGAAGGCAGATGCCCAACTTACTGAGACACCCAGGCGCCCCCATTCTACACTTTCAACAAAATTATTTCTGAGAAAGGGAAAACAGTTGGCTTTATATGTAAATTTCTTTTTCTTTTATACACCTTACGTTTCATTACCTCTGGGCACTGTACCCAAGAAATATTTGGGATGTGTAGAAGGTACGCATTCCTTTTGTAAAAAGCAATTGTGAAAAGGGAGGCTGGAAAGGGGAATTGCTCTGATAGTTTATATATACCCCCCACAGGCGCATGAATATATTAGAGACCACTTCTTTTACACGGGATATTTTATTTCTACTTTTTCATCCCTCATATCCCTTATACCACACAGTTATAGCTGATTATTTGTACCTTTAACCTGTACTTACCCTTGGGCGCCTGGGTGGCTCAGTGGGTTAAAGCCTCTGCCTTCGGCTCAGGTCATGATCTCAGGGTCCTGGGATCGAGCCCCACATCGGGCTCTCTGCTCAGCAGGGAGCCTGCTTCCTCCTCTCTCTCTGCCTGCCTCTCTGCCTACTTGTGATCTCTCTCTGTCAAATAAATAAATAAAATCTTAAAAAAAAAATAAAAAATAAAACCTGTACTTACCCTGTTACTTGATTTTTCAGCCTCAACTTGTATTGACAGAGCTAAGTGAAAGAAAAGAAATCAGCATACATATTCTATTTCCCATCCTGTCCTCCCCTTTTCTTCCTAACTTTTAAAAAAATATTTGTTTATATTGGCACCTGTGTGGCTTAGTCAGTTGAGTGTCCGACTCTTGATCTCAGCTTAAGTT